TCTTCACATCCTAAAGACAGCCTAGAACAGTGGTGGGAAGCTATGGCATATGTGCCACAGTGGGTTGTTGGTATCATTGAAAGCTCTAAAAGGTTCACCATTACTGGCCTAGAAGTTCCAAAGCTGGACTGTGTGAGCTGAGGTTCAGAGAATGAAAGTGCTATTTGGGGAATAAGTGGGCCTGCTCCTTAGGACTCACCTTATGCTGTGAGGTATGGGTTTTGAGCCCAAAGTCTTAAGGAACAGAAAGAGCCACACTACCCATATCTTCAGGAGAACTAAGTGGAGTTGGGGTAGACTGACTTGAAGTAGATATTAAAAGTTTACTAATTTAAAAATGTATTATCATTTGACTTTGGCACAGATGTTCTTTGAAGCCCCATATGGTAGTAAGGTTTCGTTATGCCCCTTACTCATCTCAAACAGCTCAGCTCACTCTCTCACAGATATTCCACACATATCTGGAAAGGACAAAAGAACCCTTAAGGAGCCTTTGTCATGAATTCTTATCTCTCAGGATTGACCTGAAGGTGGAAAAACAGACCAGAATTCCCTTTCAGTGCTATATAGCTAGAAAGGCTGCAGGCCTCGTTTCACCCCGGGAAGGAGGTGAGGCAGCTCCTGAGCTAATCCTCCTGTCTGTTTCCTCCTCCCCCAGGTGTATCAGTCACCTCCAGTAACACGGGCGTGCCAGATATCTCGGGTTCTGTGTACTCCAAAACCCAGGTAGGTGCCTGGCTGTAGATGGAAGTGGAAAAAGATGGGACAGAGAGGAGGTAGAGCTGCAGTAGTTCTTGCAGCGGGCAAGAACAGTCCTAGGAAAGGTATCAGAACCATCTTATCTTTTCTAAATGAACGATCTAGCTTCAGTTTTCCCAGAAGCTTAAATCCAGCCCTCCTAGAAGCAAGAGAATTATAATAGAAAGGTGAGGTCTGGCCCGCTGTTGTGATGTGATTTACTGTGTAGTTGTTCTTAACCTTTACCCACTCATAACCTTCTCCATAACATTTCCAAGAGAACAGAGGCAAGGATGAAGGGGTGCTAGCTCATTTCACCTTAGTAAATCTGTAACAGGTTGGGAAAGGGAAAAGAACCAATCAAGTACCCTAAAGGAGGCATTTGTAACTTACGTTACCCACGGGTCTGTTTTTTTTTGCTTTTATCCATCAGCATAAAGTTTGCTGTAGTTTCAGGGCACCTGTGGGAGCCAAGACCTTGAATACTTGAGGTACCCCAAATGTGTGATTTTTTTTTTTTTTTTTTTTTAATATCCAAGGACTTGTAGTACCTACCCAGCTTCAGGGATGTGGACGCCAGAACTAGCCAGCACATTTCCCTATGTTCATATACAGCATTAGGTTACAGAGCACTTGCACATCGAACCTCTGGTTTGAGCCTTACAACAGAAGTCAGTAGCATCCCTGTTTATGGATGAGGAAACCGGGGCTGCCAGACTTGAGTCATTTGCCTAGGATTATTAAGGGGTAGGAACAGGGCTGAGACTCGAATATCTGACTTTGGGTGCACTGTCCTGACCATGCTGCTTCCTGAGGGTGGGGGACTCGGGCGCAGAAGCTCCCAGGAGCCTTTGTTGACCCCTTGTACTCTCTCTCCTCCTATCCTGGATAGCAGTCCTTTGAGAAACAAGGTTTTCATTCCGGTACTCCTGCTGCCTCCTTCAACTTGCCTTCAGCCCTAGGAAGTGGGGGGCCCATCAATCCGGCCACAGCTGCTGCCTATCCACCTGCCCCCTTTATGCACATTCTGACCCCCCATCAGCAGCCGCACTCCCAGATCCTTCACCATCATCTGCAGCAGGATGGCCAGGTAATAGTCCTTCCCATCTCTCCTTCCCCTTCCTCTTCCTTCCTGTTCCCTGAAACTGCTTCCCCTTCCTTTTCTCCCCTTTCCTCACCACCACCCTCACCCATTCCTCCCCAGCGCCAGCCAGGGGCACACAGCACATACACAAGCGCACATAACACTAGCGGCCGGCAAAAGGAAATGTGAGAGGAGCCAGATTAAAACCTGTTTTGGGTGCCTTTCTCCTCCACCACCTTCCGTGGCATAGCTATCCTCATCCCATCAGACCTGGGTCACACCTTCCCTCTTACCTCTCCCGGCCTTTCCCCTTCCCCCACATAGCTTTCCCTTTTAATGGTGGAGTTCTATTGTCAAAGTTTGTCCCTTTATTTTCCATATATCCTGGTTCTGCCTCAGCTACCATATTTGCAGATGATTCTCTGTTGCCAGCACCAGCAGGAGGAGCAGGTAATGAAACTGAATGATGCTATGCTTGAACCCACTCCTTTTCAGTCCCCATTTCACTTCCACAGCCTCAGGGAACTTGAAAAGACTGCGCGGTCACAAATCGGGATACACAAACATAACAGACACCTTGCTGAGCTCTCTGGCCTCCCCGTCCTCTCCTCCTCCCCTCCTCAACACCCTCTTTATCTTTGTACCCTTGGTCAACTCTGGAAAACACTTGGTTACCAGAAGGGAAAAACTGGACGGCATCTCGAGCCTGGGGCCCCAGTTGGTCTCTCCCGTCTTATCTGCGGCGGGCTCACCAACATGACACTTGGTAGTGGGTAGATCGTGGGCAGTGCAGCATCTCTGGAGAGCTCCACTGCAGCTGCCTGAGGAGCTAGAATAAAGGCTTCCTTGCTAAAGACAGCTTTCCAAATAGAGGGGATTAATGGGGATGAGTGAAAAGAATTATGATCACTTATCTCCAAGAGGTGATAGTTCTCATAGTAACCCCCTTTTCTTTCAGACTGGGTGGGAGTTAGTAATATTAAAAATGAGTAGAACTGACTTATTTTCAAAGGTCCTGTTTTCATCTTTCCCCTACTGAAATGTCAAAAATGCCTTGTAGTTTATAAAAGAGGAGCGCTGCCAGCTCTGGAAACTAAACTGTCTCTGTATAGTTGAGAAGTAAGCATCACAGTAGGTTCTGTGTGAAGGGAACGGGCAAGCAAGACAGTTTACCCATCTCCGTCAGAAGATGTTACAGATTTGTCCCACTAACTAGACACCTTTTTCCTCCCCATCGTCCTCCCATTTCCCTCCAGACGGGCAGCGGGCAACGTAGCCAGACCAGCTCCATCCCGCAGAAGCCCCAGACCAACAAGTCTGCCTACAACAGCTACAGCTGGGGGGCCAATTGAGGCCCTGACCCTCTTCTCCCGGTCCCATCTTCTGAGAGGGCTTCTCAGCCTGGAAAGTACGGAAACATCAAAGAGAGAAAGGAATGTTGAGGGGTTGTGCAGCCCCCCACCCCAGCGGCCCACCCCATGCCTCAGCTTCACATCTCCCATTCCCATCCCATTCCCACCTTGTTGTATGTATTATAGGATTTGTATTTTCTCCCCTCCCTCGTCCTCCTCTCCCTTGCATTCAAGATTATGAAACTTTGCTGTGGGCCCTGCCTTTCCTTCACTTCTTCCTGTTCACCCTGGTGGTGTATGGGTGAGGAGGGAGGGGGGACCCCCCCAAATATATATCAGCCCAACAGCCCTAAGTCTCCTCCTTTATTATTAGGAAAACAAAGCGACAACAAAAAAGCGTCATGAATATGAAAAGCATTGTCAGATTAATTAGTTGAAGTGGTTTTTTTTTTTTTTGTACTGTGTCCTCAAATTTAATGGATTAATGTGTCTTGTATATATAAAAAGAAAACCTCTACCTTCAGCCTCTGCCCATTCTTGCTCCGTCTAGGATATCCTCAGTCTCGTCGATGAGCAGCTTGGTGAATAAGTATTCCCGTGTCAACTGGGCTTCCTCTTGCAGGCCTCGGAGGCAGTGGAATAAAATGAAATCTTTGCCCTTTAAAATCTTCTGACCTTAATGTGCTAGTATTTTGCCCTTGAGGGGATTCCCTTCCCTTCACCCCTAAGAATTTCACAGTGTGACTGGAAAGAACCACTACAAATCTACATTTTCTACAGAAGCAGCAGGTCTGAGGCAGTGAGGTGGAGGGAGAGTGATTGGGTGGAAAGTGGTTGAGAAGCTGAAACTGTCTCAAAGAAGCGGCTTTATGAAATCTAAGCATGACTTAAGATGGGTCCAGGCGAATAAAACCGAAAAGGAGGCTGAGGGAAACATTTGCCATGGGCTGGGGCCCCTTCCCAAAAGCCAACTCCAAGCAGTTCTTGTTTCCTGCGTGCTTCTCTGTGGCTCAGCAATACCCCACCCCTTGAGAAGGAGTATAGGTAAGATTTGGGTCGGGAAGCATGCAGAGGCAGAGGCTTTTGAGAGTCAATGATACGAAAGCTGATTTATTGTTTTCCCCAGCACTAGGGCTCACACCCAGGGGCAATCAACCATTCCCCAGCCCTTCCCCCTTAAGAGATGGGTCTCCTGTTGCCCAGGGTGGCTTCCTGCTTCTGCCTCCCGGGAGGAGTTGGGACTTCACAAGGCTCAGGCCACGGTACCAGCCTGGAAAGGACTGAATTCCTCGTTCCTTCCCTGGCTGGCCTAGGAGTCCTCGATCTTGCCGGTCTGCAGAAGCTGTGTAGCAGATGTGTCAAATCCCCGGCAGGTGTGGAGAGATGAATTTCATGCCTCATGTCCATTCGGGGGTGGGGAGTTCAGTACTTGGTAAACGCTGTCAGTCCCATTAATGTTAGACGTACCCGGGTCCGTCTAGAACCACGAGCTGGGGCACAGCGGCCCGTGCCTCGGGCGGGCCGCGGGGCGAGGGTGGCCGCGGCAGGTTCAGGTTCGCGTGTGCCGCTGCCCTGCCCTCTGGCGGCCACGGGGACCACGGCGTGAACTCTTTACAACTCCGTGGGCCGGGCCCGCAAGCACGAAGGAGGATCGACCCGACCCAGCTGGGAGGCGGTCACTGGAAAACGAGAATTTGGCACGCTCGCCCTTTCACAAGCTTAAAGGTACGGTAAAGAGGCAGCCTTTCCACTTGGAGAAGCACCGTCCCTGCCTCTTCCCCTGTCTTGGCTTCCGGTCTTACAGTCGTTTTACGACAGTGCCGTGTCTCAGGCTTGCTTTCCGGCAGTGTGGACTGACGCGTCGCTCAATTTCCGACAGCGCACAACTGGCTGTCCCCTGGTGCGAATGGGCCACGGGAGGGCTTCAAAGGTTCGAGTCCCAGTACGGAATGAGTCTCTTTGACCTTTTTCGGGGCTTTTTCGGCTTTTCTAGACCTCGGAGGTGAGAGTAGATCTGGGTATTTTGCGGGGAGCTTGGCCCCTTCACCCTATTTTTGGAAAAACTTCTTCCACTCTTGCGGAGCAGATAGAAGTCACAACATTGAGCGCGCACCCCGTGACAGTAACCAAGGCGGTCGTTAAGGAGAAATAGTAGCCAGAGCTTTTCTCCAGCCCGGGGTGATGCAACAGGGACCCAGGCAGAAAGACAATGCGGGTTTAGGGAGGAGAATGGTGAGCTAATGAGCTGGACTTTGGGAGGGGGCGGGGCTGGGGACTCCGCAGAAGACCCAGCGGGCGGAGTTTGGGAAGAGTTTCGAGGTGAGGACTGAGAAAAACAAAGACAAGAATCGGAAAAATCTGTCAGCCAGTCCTCCAAACTTCTCAACTTTCCAGACCCCTGCTTTTGCCCTACTTTGCCATCCATGAATTGATTTTCTGCCTTAAGTAGTGCTGAAGTCTTGGTGGTTTACCTGCCTCCACCTTCAGCCACAGAGATCCCTTTTTTGGAGGGATGACTCGCGATGAAGATGACGATGATGAGGAAGAGGAAGAAGAGGGAGCTACCTGGAGCCATGGGAGTCGGAGGTTTGACAGTCCCCAGCCCCCGGAGGAATTTGGCTTTGGCTTCAGCTTCAGCCCAGGAGGAGGGATGCGTTTCCAGGATCATTTTGGCTTTGATGACCTAGTACGGGATTTCAACAGCATCTTCAGCGAGATGGGGGCCTGGACCTTGCCTTCTCACCCTCCTGGTGTGTGGGTTTCCCTGGGGGAGAACCGTGGGTTTCTGTGGGCTGGTGGGTGAAATAAGGAGCCTGCTGGGAGTAGTGGGGGATGGAAAGCGAGAGGAGACTGATGCTTCCAGGGAGATTTAAGTCCCACTCCAGCATCCACCTGCCGCCTTTCCTCAGAACTTCCAGGTCCTGAGTCAGAGACACCTGGTGAGAGACTGCGGGAGGGACAAACACTTCGGGATTCAATGCTTAAGTACCCGGATAGTCACCAGCCCAGGATCTTTGGGGGAGCCTCGGAGAGTGATCCGGGAACCGAATCCCCAAGGTCAGCTCCAGGATGGGGGTCCCCGAGACCTTTTCATAGGGTGAGTACTCCATCTGGCCTGAAGGGAAAGTAAAGTGTAACGACCGCAGTCCTTGGTGAAATCTCATGTTAGAGTTGCAGTTCCTTTTTAGTGATTTATGTTTCCTCCTCCTCTCTCCCCTTCTCACCTCTTTTTCATTTCTCTTTGTGCTGGGGATTGAACCAGGGCCTTGTTTATGTTGGGCACCTACATCCCCACCCTGTTTTCTATATTAAGTTTCTTGCAGGATATTCTTTGGGGGAAATGGAGTTCTGTTTCTTGTTTTTAAAACAAAGACCCACAAACTACTGGTCTAGATGATTCTTGGATAAGGCAGGATTGTTGGGGAGGACAAGACAGAATTATTTCAGGAAGGAGGAAAGGTGGAGTAAATAGAGCTCCAGGGAAAAGGGGTTTTGAAACTTGGGAGCAGTTTGGAGAAAAGTGTCTTTTCACCTTCTGTGGCTTCTTCTACAGTTTGATGACGTATGGCCTGTGACTCCCCATCCTAGAGCCAGAGAGGACAATGGTGAGTCTAGAGGGAGAGGGTATTTACCACCCCGGTGTTTTCCTCTAGTTAAACCTGTTCCCTCTCCCCAAAGTGCGTTTCTGCTACACGTCTCCTTTTCCCTTGGACTCTCTTGGTTCTTAATTTCTCTGCCCTTCCAGATCTTGATTCGCAGGTTTCCCAGGAGGGTCTTGGCCCAGTTCTACAGCCCCAGCCCAAGTCCTACTTCAAGAGCATCTCTGTGACCAAGATCACTAAGCCAGATGGGGTGAGTTCGGGGAGAGGGGTGAAGGGTACTGTGGCCAGGGAACATCCTGGAAAGAGGGACATGTGTAAAGAAACCGCTGAACTGGCCAGGCATGGTGCCACACACCTGTAAGCCCAGCTACTCAAAAGGCTGATGCAGGAAGATTGCACGTTTGTGGCCAGCTTGGGCAACTTAATGAGACCTTGTCTCAAAATAAAAGTAAGTAAAAGGGCAGGGAATGTAGTTCGGTGGGTGTTTACCTAGCGTGTGTGAAGCCCTGGTTTAATCCCCAGTATTTTTGAAAAGAACGAAAGAAACCACTGAACTCAGCTTTAGTGACGTTAGGAGCAGTGAGGCTTCTGCTTGTAGGTAGTGGAGGAGCGCCGGACCGTGGTGGAAAGTGAGGGCCGGCGGGAGACCACAGTGACCCGTCAGGAAGCAGACAGCAGCCCCAGCGCTGGTGAGTGAAGAGTACAGATCCAAGCCCATCTCGTAACTCCTGGGGGAGACGCAACTCTGACCTTTGTGCCCTTTAATGTTGTCCCTTCCCTTTGCTTCTCTCTACCTGGTTTTTACTTCATCTATCTGTGTGTCTGCCTTTCTTCCTTAGATCCAGAACTGCCAAGACCTCCAGCTCTGGACGACGCATTTTCTATACTGGATTTATTCTTAGGACGTTGGTTCCGGTCCCGGTAATCTTGTTAAACTACAGAGGCCTCCAGGTCCTTTCCATGTCCCACTCCTTGCTCACACTCAGCAAGCTTAGTGTCTTCTGCCACCTCAGGGTCTCGGGAGTGTGCATCAGGGAACAGGGATTACATCAGTCTGTCATTCATCTGGGCTGACCAATAAAACCTTTATTTATGTTAAGTGTCTTGTCTTGGTTTTGTTAAAGCTATTTCACTTTCCAGAACCTTGCAGGGCTTTCCCCATTATCTTGGCTTACAATCTTCTCTTTAATTTTTAATTTTTTGTTCCACTTCAGAAACCTGATTTGGCTGGGCGTGGTGGCATATGCCTGTAATCCCAGCATTAGGGAGGCTGAGGCAGGAGGATCGTTGCGAGTTCAAAGCCAGCCTGGGCTACAAAGTGAGCTC